TCATTTAAACAAAACCAGCCTTTGACACTAAGATGCCTGTGGGTACCACTTTGGTATTTGTGTTAACGTTTTACTTCATTCAAGACTTGATTTGGTATGAATTTACATGTTTCATGCCCATTTAAAAAATCGGTTTTAAGATAGTATTTGTGAGTTCCTTTTGTGATGTCTGCTGTTTGGATGATTAATTGGTACTGCGTTTTCTAATGAGCGTACTCTTTGCTGTCTTTGTAGATCCGTATGTCAAAGTTCTACTTGATGCCATGAAACACTCAGGTTGGTAAGTAAACCTTTTTAGAAATGTCACTGTGTGTTCTGGAGCCCCCAGAACTAAAATTGCAGAGCTGTTATTTATACCTGGGGCTTCTCACTTTGGAGCACAAAGCCTTCTCCGTCCACAGAGGCAGGCTGCATGTCTTCCAGGCTGGCCTTGTGCTCTTCGACCGTCTTTTGTCCTGGCTCAGTCTCTGGCTCTGTTGTTTACTTTGAATGTTAGTAAAGGCAGTATTCACAGTTTGTCTTGAAAGTCGTTACCAAATTTGGCCCTTCCATCCCCCCAGCCTAGGGCATTGTGGTGAAGAAACCTTAGCTTGGATTAATTAGTAGGAGGTTTCCAGATATTAACTCAGAATGGATTAGAGGAAATGACTTCTGATATCTACCTCTTTTTTTTTTATAAGATTTATTTATTTATTATGTACACAGAAGAGGGTGCCAGATCTCATTACAGATGGTTGTGAGCCAGCAGGTGGGTGCTGGGAATTGAACTCAGGACCTCTGGAAGAGCAGTCGGTGCTCTTAACCTCTGAGCCATCTCTCCGGCCCTGATATCTACTTCTTATTACTCTGACCCATCATATATTTTCAGTGTGGTCCTAGTCAGGTGACCAGCTCCTTGAAGGAACCCTTATAGAATGTGAAGAATGGAATCTGTGGAGATAGTCTCTTTTATTCTACAGGCGAGGAGACTGAGTTCTGACTGCATTAAATAATGGCCTGCCAGACTCCGTAGGGGTTAGTGGTGGGAGGGCCATGCCGTGTGGTCCAGGGTGTCCCGGCCAGGGCTGATTCCTTCATACACGGTGCTTACACCTCTCCATGCTTTTCAGTGCGGTTGACCAAGGGAGGCACTTTTCTTGCGAAGATTGTGACGGAAATGTCAGTGGCGGGTTTGATGCTTCGACGTCCCAGGTGGGTCTCTTGGCTGAATGGTTTTCTTCCCTTTACTCCCTTCCGAGACTTGCTGAACACTTTTGACAAGCTGGGCATTCTGTTTGGTGGACTCTGCGTAGGACTTAAAAAAAAAAATCAGTCTTCGTCCTTACCTTCAAGGGGTGTCACTCTTCCGAAGGAGATAAGACACGAACTCCTTAAACAGGAAATTGGAGGCAGGTTAGGATATGCGGTGTGATAACTTTCTGTTCCTGGAGCAGGCAGCTGAGAAATTGAGCTTACAAGGAGGAATGAGTTATTTTGGCTCATGTCAGCCCACGGTCACTTGACCCTCTCAAATATTATTAAGGACCCGTCTTAATAATCGTTTTCCCAGGGGCTATGAAGAGAAGCTAAAACAGTGTGAATTATTTTCAGGAAAAGAATCTAAGTTACCCGAGCTCTTAGTCCGTCTGCTTTATTCCGCTGGGGTAAAGTTCTATCTACACAGATACAGTTCTGTTCTTGTGCCTAGCTCCTTTCTTGCCTGATTTCTCTCTACATTTATCTGCTGTCCCCTCTAAGTTCTATCTTAATTCTCTCATCTTAGTTCTGTCCCATCTTGGTCTTTCATCTCCTTCTTCCCCATCTGGCTCTTCCTCATCTTCCATCTCATTCTTCTAGGTCTCCATCTAGTTCTCCAGTCAAAATCCTCCTCAGTCTCTGAGGTTTACAGTCATATACCCATGCAATAGCAGTGCTCTAGCCCAAGCAGGGTCACCAGGCTTGAATTCTTACAGGGTCGTAAAGGCAGACAAGAGTCTTCCTCAGGCAGTGACCATCAGGCTTTCTTTTACAACCCAAAAGGGGAGTGGTAAAGGAGGAGGTCAACAGTTAATATATCAGAAAAAGGGAATTTATGTGCTCGAACTACATTCCTAGAGGTGGTTAGGTAAATGCTAGGAGTCTATAATGTTAGTATAAATACCACTAAGACTGTATAGGAAAGGGGGTTTGAGCTTAATTTACCTTAATTCAGGAGATTGTTTGGTCTTGGATGCTTGATAGTTATTTTAGATAAATACACTGTTAGGAGTTCTTGGAAGCACACATAGCATACAAGAAAATCACTGTAGGAACTGGCCAATATATATACAAAAGCTAAAATATCACCAAGACTTCTTAAGTCATGACTTTGACCTTTCCTGGTAGTAGCTTTTGTGATAGTAGCTGAATTCCATACATTTTCCTGCGGCCAGCAGCATGACCCCGTTGCCTCTGTGGTGTGTGCCTGTCAGTACTTCATAGTGGGGCTGTAACATGCAGTGTACAGTGTACAGTGTATGCGGGCAGCAAGGTCTCCACAGCCGCTCAGACCCAGTGATCTGCCTTCCACTGGACCCACTTTGTGTAGTGCCGCAGGATAACCAATCCTCTGGGGCAGGAGAGTGCGGTTAAGAGCGCTGACTGCTTTTCCACAGGACAAGGTTCAGTGCCCAAAAGAACAATCAGACCACAACCCACAGAACCAGGGAGGCTACACAGCAGGGGGACCCTAGGATGACTGTGGCTTATAATAAGTTTTGGTTTTACTCAATTACTGGACAAGCCTCAGTGAAACCTTTCCCTATTAGGATAAGAATTTGTACTGTATCAAGCTGATAATAGAAAAAAAAAATAAAAACAAAAGAAGAAAAGAGGATAGTATAATGATAGGATAAAAGGGTAGATTGTTGAACCTACTTTTAAACAGCAATGACTTGCCGGGCGGTGGTGGCACACGCCTTTAATCCCAGCACTTGGGAAACAGAGGCAGGTGGATCTCTGTGAGTTCGAGGCCAGCTTGGGCTACAGAGTGAGTTCCAGGAAAGGCGCAAAGCTACACAGCGAAACCCTGTCTCGAAAAAACCAAAAAAAAAAAAAAAAAAAAAAAACAAAACAGAAAAACAAATAAACAGCAATGACTTGTTTGAAATGTTTTTTTTTTTTTTAAAGATTTATTTATTTATTATGTATACAGAAGAGGGTGCCAGATCTCATTACAGATGGTTGTGAGCCACCATGTGGTTCCTGGGAATTGAACTCAGGACCTCTGGAAGAGCAGTCAGTGCTCTTAACCTCTGAGCCATCTCTCCAGCCCCCTGAAATGTTTTTACATTGCTGTAGATTTTAGTTTATTGATACAAATTTGAAGTAAATTTTGTTATACTGTATATATATTTCTACTCTTGTTTGAGGTATTATGTTTATGTAACTCATTTAGATTGTAATGGATAATTAAAAAATACAGATTAATTAAAAAAAAAAAAGATTCAGTGCCCAGCACCCACATGGCAGCTCACACCCATCAGTAACTCCAGGCCCAGGGGATCCAGCACCCTCTTCTAGCCCCTGCAGGCAGGCGTGTGGTACTCAGACATACATGCAGACAAAACACATAGAGATATTTAAAAAAAAAATGACAGAGGAACCAGTCCTTTAGTTCCTGAGCCTGTGGAGGATAGTCAAGGTCCAAACTATGGCAGGTGGTTGGTAACCACCATAGGACAGTGACGCGTTGATTGACAGCTACTAACAGACTCAGCGGGAAGACACAGAGCCCCTGCAAAGGCAAAGGCAGACGCTGTTAACCAAGACGCTAGGAAACCACAGGCTCGAGGAATAGCATGGTGTGAGGTTTAGCTGGAGGGCGGGGACACGTGGGAAACAAGGAGTCTGGAATTGGAAACCAATGTGAGCTGTGTGGTGGGCAGCTGGGAATGCTGAGGTGAGAACCAATACCACATGAGGTAAGGTTGGAACGGAGGGAGGGAGAGTTCCCATGTTCTAGATAACATGTATCTATCTTGTAGAATGGCGATGGGGGCTAAGTTAGCTTGAGAAATAAATGAGCAATTTTATTATTCGTTTGAAGTCACCGGAGGGTTTTCACAGAATCATGGCGGTAGCAGGTGGTTCGTGTGACGTGATGAAGGTCGTCGAAGGTATTGCACGTAGCTTTTCCAATTTGAATATGTCATCTACGTTTAGCTCCACCTAAGTGCTTTTCTGCTGGAGAATTTCACGTGTGTTTGGTTATTCATAACTGTCTACAAAACTGTGGGTGAGCCCTGTGGGTTTTAGAGTGAGACTTGAGTCGGAATCCCAGTCCTTCCGCTTGTGAGCTGTGGGCTTGGGCAAATGATTTTTCATACTCTTTTTTTTTTTTTTTTTGGTTTTTTGAGACAGGGTTTCTCTGTAGCTTTGGAGTCTGTCCTGGACTAGCTCTGTAGACCAGGCTGGCCTCGAACTCACAGAGATCCACCTGCCTTTGCCTCCCGAGTGCTGGGATTACAGGTGTGCGCCACCACCGCCCAGGTGGTAAATTGGTGATCACGTTACTGACAGCACTCTCGGTAAGTCTGCCCACTCCCCTGCGGTGGTCTAGTAGATGAGTGTTTTGGGAGCTGTCGCTCAGCTGGCAGAGGCCTTGCCTCACCTACACGGACCCCTGAGCTCAGCCCTAACAAAGCATAATCCACGCTCGGTGGCACACACCTGTAATTCTAGCACTCAGGAGGTGGAGGCGGAGGATCAGATGTTCAAGGCCATCCTCAGCTACGTAGAGAGTGAGGCCAGTTGGACTAGAGATTCTGTCTCAGGAAAAAAGTAACAGAGTGAACGTTTTTTTTTTTTTTTTTCCCTTTTTTCTTTTTTTTCGAGACAGGGTTTCTCTCTGTAGCTTTGCGCCTTTCCTGGAACTCGCTTTGGAGACCCGGCTGGCCTCGAACTCACAGAGATCCGCCTGCCTCTGCCTCCCGAGTGCTGGGATTAAAGGCGTGCACCACCACCGCCTGGCCAGAGTGAACGTTTTAAAGTATCAGCTCTCGGCAGTGTTAAACACAGTCGTACACTACTCCATTCTATCTTAAATTGGAGTTTTTATTGTGAAGTCCATCATTGATCCAGGAAATCAGAAAACCATGGGTATACTTTCAACAATAAGGGAAGCCTCTGGTTAACTGATGCCGAGATCTGAGGAGCAGAATGTTCCCCGGACTGGAGACACCTGTGTGGTCCTCTTGAGTGACATCCCTTATCCTGACTGGGCATCATTCCCCGCTTTTCTGAGTTTTCCCACCCACGTGTGCAGTCCAGGATTGCATTGTCTGGACGCCTGCTTTCATGCTTCGCACTTTGAGTAGTATAGAATGTGTTGTGGACTCGGCATGTGGGCGTACATCCTCTGTGGTTCTGTGAGATGTAAAATCCTCCAGTACACAGTCCCCTGTAAGTCAGATTTCCATGCTACCGTGTGTCCTCTCCGGTTTACTTAACTTCACCGTTGTATACTATTCCACTGTGTGTTCGCATCAGGGTTTACCCTGTCTAATAGTGTTTCCAGCCTTGTAATTGTGCGCGGTACTGCCGTTAAATATTCTTGACCCTCTCTCCTGGTGACAGTTACAAGCTCCCCCAAGATGCAGGTCTCTGAGCAGAATTGCGGGCATGGAGCGTGCAGAATGCTGGCTGATGACGCTGTGGTGCAGTTTCACACATGTTCTCCCGGCTACTCCTTTGCTGAGGTCCTCTTCCAGCCCTTAAATGTTGACGCCCTCAGTCCTTTTTCCTCCTCTGTGTTCTGTGAGGTCCTGTCCTCTGTGTTCTGTGAGGTCCTGTCCTCTGTGTTCTGTGTGAGGTCCTGTCCTCTGTGTTCCGTGAGGTCCTGTCCTCTGTGTTCCGTGAGGTCCTGTTCTCTGTGTTCTGTGTGAGGTCCTGTCCTCTGTGTTCCGTGAGGTCCTGTCCTCTGTGTTCTGTGAGGTCCTGTCCTCTGTGTTCTGTGTGAGGTCCTGTCCTCTGTGTTCTGTGAGGTCCTGTCCTCTGTGTTCTGTGAGGTCCTGTTCCTCTGTGTTCTGTGTGAGGTCCTGTTCCTCTGTGTTCTGTGAGGTCCTGTCCTCTGTGTTCTGTATGAGGTCCTGTCCTCTGTGTTCTGTGAGGTCCTGTCCTCTGTGTTCTGTGAGGTCCTGTCCTCTGTGTTCTGTGAGGTCCTGTCCTCTGTGTTCTGTGAGGTCCTGTCCTCTGTGTTCTGTGAGGTCCTGTCCTCTGTGTTCTGTGAGGTCCTGTTCCTCTGTGTTCTGTGTGAGGTCCTGTTCCTCTGTGTTCTGTGAGGTCCTGTCCTCTGTGTTCTGTATGAGGTCCTGTCCTCTGTGTTCTGTGAGGTCCTGTCCTCTGTGTTCTGTGAGGTCCTGTCCTCTGTGTTCTGTGAGGTCCTGTCCTCTGTGTTCTGTGAGGTCCTGTCCTCTGTGTTCTGTGTGAGGTCCTGTCCTCTGTGTTCTGTGTGAGGTCCTGTCCTCTGTGTTCTGTGAGGTCCTGTCCTCTGTGTTCTGTGAGGTCCTGTCCTCTGTGTTCTGTGTGAGGTCCTGTCCTCTGTGTTCTGTGTGAGGTCCTGTCCTCTGTGTTCCGTGAGGTCCTGTCCTCTGTGTTCTGTGTGAGGTCCTGTCCTCTGTGTTCTGTGAGGTCCTGTCCTCTGTGTTCCGTGAGGTCCTGTCCTCTGTGTTCTGTGTGAGGTCCTGTCCTCTGTGTTCCGTGAGGTCCTGTCCTCTGTGTTCTGTGTGAGGTCCTGTCCTCTGTGTTCCGTGAGGTCCTGTCCTCTGTGTTCTGTGTGAGGTCCTGTCCTCTGTGTTCTGTGAGGTCCTGTCCTCTGTGTTCTGTGAGGTCCTGTCCTCTGTGTTCTGTGAGGTCCTGTCCTCTGTGTTCCGTGAGGTCCTGTCCTCTGTGTTCCGTGAGGTCCTGTCCTCTGTGTTCCGTGAGGTCATGTCCTCTGTGTTCTGTGAGGTCCTGTCCTCTGTGTTCTGTGTGAGGTCCTGTCCTCTGTGTTCTGTGAGGTCTTGTCCTCTGTGTTCTGTGAGGTCCTGTCCTCTGTGTTCTGTGAGGTCCTGTCCTCTGTGTTCTGTGTGAGGTCCTGTCCTCTGTGTTCTGTGAGGTCCTGTCCTCTGTGTTCTGTGAGGTCCTGTCCTCTGTGTTCTGTGAGGTCCTGTCCTCTGTGTTCCGTGAGGTCCTGTCCTCTGTGTTCTGTGAGGTCCTGTCCTCTGTGTTCTGTGTGAGGTCCTGTCCTCTGTGTTCTGTGTGAGGTCCTGTCCTCTGTGTTCTGTGTGAGGTCCTGTCCTCTGTGTTCTGTGAGGTCCTGTCCTCTGTGTTCTGTGAGGTCCTGTCCTCTGTGTTCTGTGAGGTCCTGTCCTCTGTGTTCTGTGAGGTCCTGTCCTCTGTGTTCTAAGGAGGGGTCTTGTCTCTCTGTGTTCTAAGGGGGTCTTGTTCCTCTTTAGGTCAGACTCCGATTTGAATGCTCATCTGTGTATTCAAATGCTCACTTAGCACTTTTACTTGAATTGTCTTCAAGACACCTTAGACTCAATATGTCCAAGTTCAGATTCTTGATTTTTGCCATCCCCTGTCTTCACCCAATCTGCGTTTTTAGTTTTTCTTCCCCCTTTTCTTTGAGGGTTTTTTTTGGACAGGGTCTGATGTAGCCCAGGCTGGCCTCCTGATTCACCTCTCATGTTCTGGGATCACATGCGTGTGCCATTATGCTCAGCTTGGTTTTACACATATCAGTAGATGTTTCTACCATTTAAGCCAGAAACTTATAGATACTTCTGGTTCTTTCCTTGTAAGACAAATTGCTAAACAGTCTTATAAATAAAAAACCTAGAGCGAGATATTGGGGTGAAAACTGAAAGATTAGAGGAATAGTATAAACCACAGCCAACTTTACCTTACCAACTCCTCAGCCTCCAGAGAGAGCTACTTCCTGTATACTCACACCTATATGCCTTTCTGTGCCCTGCCATCTTACTCCCTCTTTCTGCCCAGCTCTATCACTTCCTTTCTGTCTGTATAGGCCTCCAGACCTCTATGATTAACTAGTGCTGGGATTAAAGGTGTGTGCCACCACGTCTGGCTCTGTTCCCAGTGTGACCTTGAACTCAGGGAGATCTGGATGAATCTGTCTGCTGAATGCTAGGATTAAAGGTGTGTGCTATCACTGCCTGACCTCTATGTTTAATATAGTGGCTGGCTTTTTCCTCTGATCCCCAATAAGCTTTTTTGGGGTGCACAAATAAAATATCCAGATTTTGTTCAGGTTACCTCCTAAATTACCTTCTAGCTCCCACCATTCTTGCTTAAACACCTCACCCCTGCCTCTCGCCTACAGTACCACGGTGGCCTCCATCTGGTTTCTCTGAACCCAGCTTCGGTCATCTCCCACTAATTCTTCTGGCTGTTGTAGTCTTAAGGGTAAACAAAGACATGCCCCTGTTTCAGCACTCTCTTTGGAGGCTTTCCCCTGCTGCCAGAATGTAGGCAAGGTCAGCTTTTCTTGGTCCTGCATTCAGCTTCTCTTACGTTCTGTCTTCAGCCCTTCCTCCCCCCTGTGCACACATTACCCCCCTTTCCTTCCTTCTGTTTACATTTAACCCCCACTCATTCATTAGGTCTCCATTAATTTTTAAAATAAATTTTTATTTTTTTATTTAAACAATTTCTTTTAATTTTTTTGAGATTAGAATCTAATTTTATCATTTCCCCGTTCCCTTTCCTCCTTCCGAACTCTTCATGTCCCCGCTGCCCCTGCTCTCTTTCAAATGTCAGTTTTCATTTTTATTTTCTCTGCATGGCTGTTTTGACTGTATGTGTGTCTGTGCACGTGTGTGACTGGTGTCCACAGAGGCCAGAAGAGGGCGCCGGCTCTCTTGGAACCTGAGTGACAGACGGTTGTGAGCCACCACGTGGGTGCTGGGAATTAAACTTGGGTCCTGTGGATGAACAGCCAGTGCTCTTAACCGCTGGGCCACCTTTCCAGCCTGTTTATTTATTTAGTTTTTTGAGACAGACTCTCTAGCTCAGGCTGGCCTGCAGTCGAGGATGACTGTGAACGTCTGATCCTCCTGTGTCTGTCTCCCCAGTGGTGGGAAGACGTGAGTGCCTGGCATGCTGGCTCCTGCCATGCTGGTGATAGAACCCAGGGCATGCTAGACAAGCCTCTACCAACTGAGCCACATCCCCAGCGCCATAGGTCTAAGAGAAGCCTGTCCCAGCTCTCCAGATCGGGCCTGGCGTTCTCATGGTATTTGCTCAAGACCGTCACTGTGTAGTCAGTCATTTTGGTAAATATTTCTTAATTTCTGTCTCCATTAGTAGATTCTAAGTCACTTATTAGACCTTAATGACTGTCAGTTGAGTAAGTTACTGTTGGATGGATGTATATAAACTATCTGGTAGCTGCTGGTTGTCGGGCGCGTGGTAAATGCAGCTCTCACGCCTGGGACTCTCATGTCTTCCTTATTCTTATGGGATCCTGCTTAGCACGCCACTGACCTCTTGTTCTCCCTTCTGACTGTCTTCTGAGGGTGTTTCCGGGGAATTTTTCCTCATTCCAGCCGGATGGGAGTGGTGTCAGCCATTCTTCACCCACTGCTGACTCTGAAACTGGCCAAGAAGTACTTCCCGTGTGTTCTCTGCTGATAATCATTCCCTTTTCATAGTTGGGGGAACGGAGGTACAGAGAGGCTAAGAAACTTGCTCAGGGATCTGGAGCCATGGCCCAGAACACTTAGTGCTCTTTCAGAGGACCAGAGTTCACATCTCAGCACCCTTGTCTGGTGGTTCAGGGTCACCAGTAACCTCAGCTCTAGGGGTGTGAGGTCGTCCTCTGGTCTCCGTGGCCTCCCATACACATGTCTGTATTACTCCCTAACAAAATTGAAAAAAAAAAAACATGTGAAGAAATTTTCCCAGCTTGCTGGGTTGGCAGGGCCTGGGGCTGTGCTTTTTGTATGCCTGTCTTCTCAAAGCCCATTCTTAGAACCGCAGAGCTGCGGCATCCGAGATGGACTGGTATGGCCAGCTCAGGGGGTGCAGTATAGGAACACGGCCTCAGTTGGTGTGCTGGCGTGGCCTAGAGAGAAGAGGAGGGGTTGGTCACCGGAAGTGGACTTGAGGGCTTGTGAGGGAGAAGCAGGAGTGAGGCTTCCCGCAGGTGGCTCGTGAGAGGGAAAGTGGGGCCTGAGGAAAGGGCAGGTGTGCGGAGCGAGCCGACTTCTCCTGTTTTCCTGTCTCTCAGATTGTTTTGTGCCAGAATAATATCCGAAACGAGGCCCACATGAGCAGAGTCGTCACCCACGAGCTCATTCACGCCTTCGATCATTGTCGGGCCCACGTCCACTGGTTTACCAACGTCAGACATCTGGCCTGCTCCGAGGTGAGTTTCATCGCAGAAGATGTCTATTTTCCCCAGACACTGAACTGTTTATTCAGATGCAACTGTTTAAACACATTCCTTTTCTTGCTGTTGTAACTTGAACAGTCTCTTTGTAGAATTGCTGTAAACGTTATCTTCAAGACCTAATAATAGTATCAGCTGATTTAAATCATAATAAACCACTTTCCTTGGGGTACACTGAGGGCTAAATGCCATGCTTGTATAGATATAAAAACATTATTAATTTTTATTGTTCTGGGATTTGAACCCGGGGCCTCTTGCATGCTAGTCAAACCCTGTTAACTGACTACATTCCCAGCCTTGGATTTGCTTTTGCAGTGCTGGGGTAGAGCCCAGAGCGCAGTGCATGCTGGGTAAGCAATCCCCCACTGCGTTACGTGCCCAGCCCTTCCGGCTTCTTATTTAACCTTCACAGCAGTCCATTGAGGAAGATGATTATTATCCTTGTCTGCTAGATAAGCAAGGTGAAACCCTTGTTTGGATTCTAGAGTTAGTGGCAGAGTCGGGGTTACCAGGGTTCTTAACTAGCTTGCTGTGTCTCAGAGGCAAAGTCATTGTTTGCCCTGGAGTAAAAAAACATTTAGCCTCAAAAGTACAATGGAAAAAGATACTTAGCATTAATGACTTCGGGTTGCTCTCAGAAGTCCATTTGCTCCTATAGGGAGGCATGTATTTCATACTTGAATTTCAGTATTTGAAGAGTAGTGATGTACTAATGTAATGAGAAATTAAGGAATTAACAAACCTCAAGCATATACTTTATGACGTAGACTGTTTTCTCCTTCCCTTGGAATAAATAATGTGCCCTCCTGCATCCAACTAAAACTCATTATTTGGAGAGTAAATGAAACCCGCGTTTCTGAGTGAGCCTGTTTCTGGTGTTAGGAGTAATGCCTGTTAGCTAATGTGCTAAGGGCCGTGAGCTCCACAGCCCCATGCAGCCATGTTATTGCAGAGGTAACAAGAATCGGATCGTCCTCTTGGCAGTGAATTACCAAAGCGTGGCTGAAGGCTGTGCCATGTATGGGGATAGTCCCAGGACTTAGAAAAAAAAATCTATTAACATCATAAATCAGAAAATACGTGTTAACTTCAGGAGGACGGTCTCCATTCTTTGTGTTTCGTATCCTGTAACATCTCATACACAGTCAAGGGCCTTGAGGAGACTCATGGCAGAGCTTGACAGAGTAGGGGAGTGTCTAAGATTTGGGCTTTGGCACCTCCTTTGGAAAACTGTTTTCTTGAAGTCCCTTTGGTAATTTCTAGAAGTGTTTGTATCTTCTAGAGATCATGAACTTTAACTGTGAGGCCCAACTCTCTGACTCTGTTTCAGAAGAAATTGTTTATGTCTGTGAGGCAACAGGTAATGTTGAGAATTGCCTTTGGTGGGTGACTGAACTCCCTGCCACAGAGCCCCTGGATTGTGTAGCGTGTTCTGCTCTTGCCAACAGATACTTCAAGAAATTATTTAGAAGAAAGTTTCAGACGCACTGGAGTCGCAGAAATATGTGCTGACTTTCTGTTCTCTCCCAGTTTTAAACGTTGGCTGGCTGTGGATAGGCAGAGAGCCCTCACCTCTCACTTGCCCTCTGTGTTTGTGACAGATTCGAGCTGCCAGCCTCAGTGGAGACTGTTCCCTTGTGAATGAAATCTTCAGGTTGCATTTTGGATTAAAACAACACCATCAGGTAAACACACCTATGGAATCACTGGCCCTCATGAGTGTCCTGAGTGGAAGTAGTGAGGAAAGAAAGGAAATATGCAGGGCTGGAGAGATGGCTCAGAGGTTAAGAGCACTGTCTGCTCTTCCAGAGGACCTGGATTCAATTCCCAGCACCCATATGGCAGCTCACACCTATCTGTAACTCCAGTTCCAGGGCTTCTGACACCCTCACACAGACATACATAGAAGCGGAGCACCAATGAACATAAAAAGAAAGGAAATACACTTAATATCAAGAACTACCTACATAAAGAGAACACAAACTACCTTATTAAGTTGATGGAAATTAGTTCTGTTTCATAATCATGAGTCAACTGTGTGACTGTGTGAGAAGAGAGCTACGATCTTGCTCTGGGGCATTTAAAAAAAGAAAAAGACTTTTTTATTTTATGTGTATGACTGTTTTATCTGCATTTATGTGCGTGTGTGTGCATGGTGCTTGTGGGGGTCAGAAGAAGGCATCGGGTCTTCTAGAAAGTGGAGTTACAATGGCTGTGAGCTGCCATGTGAGTACTGGGAACCAAACCCGGGTCCTCTGTAAGACTAGCAGGTGCCCTTAACTGCTGAGCCGTCTCTCCATCTCCATCTCCGGGATACTTTTAAATGGGGATAGGAAGAGAATATAAGTGAAATCGTAGCCTGCCTCCCTTATATTCTAATAGTGCTACAGTTATATGTATATATACACATATAATTGACCCTTGTAGACTTGACACACAATACTTTAAGACATAATCTGTCCTTCTTTTGTTTCATCCCCAAGAGTTCAGATTAATAAATATTACAAAAAAGTCAGCCTTCACTAATTCAAATACTTTAAAAGTTTAGTCTTTGACCAGGCAGTGGTGGTGTATGCCTTTAGTCCTAGCACTTAGGAGGCAGAGGCAGGTGGATCTCTGAGTTCAAGGCCAGCCTGGTCTACAGAACAAGTTCCAGGCCAGCCAAGGCTACACAGAGAAACCCTGTCTTGAAAAAACAAAAACAAAACCAAGAGTTCAGTCTGTGTTAAATCCAAAAATTTTTTAAAATCCAAAATTTCTTTTAAAAATTCAGTCTCTCAACTGTGGGCTCCAATAAAATAAAAACATAAGCTAAATACTTTCTTACCTGAAGAGGGAAGAACCAGGGCACAGTCACAGTCTGAACAAAGCAAAACCACACTCCAGCAGTATAGAGAGTTCATGTCCAGTGTCTGGGATTCAGTTACAATCTTCCGGGCTCCTCCAAGGGGCTGGGGTCCCTTCTCCGGCTCTGCCCTCTGCGGCCACACAGCTCGTCCTCTAGGCTTGTACAGGGCCCACTCCACTGCGGCTGCTGTTCTTAGCAGTCATCCCATGGTGCTGCCGTCTCCAAACACTGGGGTCTGCTGCTGCAGCTGGGCTGCACTTTCACCAATGGCCTCTTTTCTGTTGTCTTCATGGTGCAAGGCCTCAACTTTTCTCCATGAACCCCTCAATCCTAGGGCTTCCACTGCTACCAGCTGCACCTTCTAGTGGACTCTCCTGGCCTCTCATAGTGCCAAGCCTTAGCTGCTCTCTGTGACCCCTTCATGCCCTCAAAACCACTATCACTGGGATGACTACCAAGTTTGGCTGCCAGTGCAAGGTACAACCTTGGCCCCCTCTGAACACAGCTTGCATGTGTTAGCGCTGAGCAGACACTTCCCAGAAGATAGCACTTCAATGATGCTGGTCTCTTCTTTTTTTTTTTTTTTTTTTCTGGAGCTGAGGATGGAACCCAGGGCCTTGCACTTGCTAGGCAAGCGCTCTACCACTGAGCTAACTCCCCAACCCCAATGCTGGTCTCTTCTTAATCACGGCTGATTCCTCAGCCCTGCTGAGCAGACATCACAGATTCTTCACAGAAACGGCTTGTGATTTTTGCCAATTGGGAATTATTGTTTGGCAGATGTTGTTTAGTGCCTCAGAGAATGACATCAGGTTATATTCCCCCAAAATAAGAAAATGGAGGTCTTAATTATGTCTAAAGAGTTTTATATTGAACTAACATGTTACATGGTTTGAGAGTTATATTTAATAGTTTTATTTTAACTTTTTTTAAATTGCAGAACCATTTTAGTTAATAAATTCATCTCTTGACAACTTTGAACTTATTTTCCTGGTATGTCAATGGACTTTATAGTTGGCCATCTTGCCTCTATGCCAGGGAGTTTCCTTTTGACCCAGCATTTCAGCCTTTTCTGAACAGGGAACATCGGACGACGTATTCTCTTCTGGAACTGCTTTGAGCTGGCATTGGGGCGCTGTTGTCAGGGCCCCAAGAAGGCTGAAAGGCTGGTCAAAGGCTGGGCAAAGAGGTGTCTGTCAGAAGCATGTGGCTATCTGATCCTGCAGAGACAGGGAACAATTATTTTAACTTTTAGAATGGTCGAAATTAATAACGAGAACAAGAGGTGAAATGAATCTATTTTAAAATTTTATTTTGTGTGCATTTGTGTTTTGCCTGCATGTGTTTCTATGTGAGGGTGTCAGATCCCCTGGGACTGGAGTTACAGACAGCTGTGAGCTGCCATGTCCAGGGTGCTGGGAATTGAATCCAGGTCCTCTGGAAGAGCAGCCAGTGCTCTTAACTGCTGAGCCATCTCTCTAACCCTGGAGAAATGAATCTTAATTTAGGTAATATATAATGGTATCATGTGATTACATTTCACACGAAGTGAAAACGATGCGCTCTCCCTTTCCTTAGACTTGTGTGCGGGACAGAGCTGTCCTTTCCATCTTGGCTGTTCGGAACATCAGCAGAGAAGAGGCCCAGAAGGCCGTGGATGATGTTTTTGAGTCTTGTTTCAATGACCGTGAGCCTTTTGGCAGGATCCCACATACTAAGACATACGCCAGATACGCTCACAGGGACTTTCAGAACCGTGATCGATACTACTCGAACATATGAAGATGGTGGCCGTCAGTCTCTCTGAACATCAGGACCATGAAGGGAAATGAGGTTCTTAGACACAGTGTATACAATGTAAATGATCAGTTAACCACTGGATACAGTGCAGAAGGTGAACTGTGGTTCTTAGACACAGATGTATACAATGTAAATGATCAGTTAAGCACTGGACACAGTGCAGAAGGTGAGATGTTCTTAGACACAGATTATACAATGTAAATGATCAGTTAAGCACTGGACACAGTTCAGAAGGTGAGATGTGGTTCTTAGACACAGATGTATACAATGTAAATGGTCACTTCCGATATAGTGAAGAAGGTGCTGGTTTTAGCATTTGACTACAAAAAATGGATATGGCAAAAAAGGAAGTCCTTAAACTGCAAGGCAAAATTGGATGTTTATAGCTAATAATTTAGTAAATAAGGTAAAAAAATGACATTTTCGTATTTTCTACAGTATACTTATTTTTTAAATGCTTTAGTTTTGTAATTTGTTCTTATTATATGAGATTATTTTAAAAGTTGATTATGAAATCTATGAAGCATGCCCCTGTGTGATGGTGGTGGGAGATCAAAGTATTTACATACAATAGATGATCACATTATAGGACATTTATGAGATGTTGTCATGATCAAAATGCAAAGAATGAAAGTTGGGAATGATTCATTCAAGGTCAGTGTCATTTTCTCTCTGTTCATTGTATGTGTGTGGGGACTTCATGACTTAATTTCCTGGGGATAGTCTGATAATTAGATATTTTACTTACATTTCTTTTAGATTTTATTTTTTATTATATATATATGGGTGCTTTGTGTGTATGTATGTCTGTGTATTACATGTTTGCCTAGTACCTGAGGAGGCCAGAAGAGGGCCTTGGATCCCCTAGAACTGGATTTATAGATGATTATCCATTGTGTGGGTACTGGGAATTGAACTCAGGTCCTTTTGGAGAGCAACCAGTGCTCTTAACTGCTGAGCTATCTCTCCAGTCCCCCTTACTAGACTTTTTAAAACATTAAGGTACTATGTTCAACCTATAATGCAATTTAGTTTAATTTTTATGTATTTATAATTTTTTTTTGAGCTGAGGACCGAACCCAGGGCCTTGTGCTTGCTAGGCAAGCGCTCTCCCACTGAACTAAATCCCCAACTCCATAAATTTTTTTATATAGTAATTTTTAAATATTTTGTTAGTCTACATATCTGAATTTTAGATACAGAAAACGTCTTTCTAGCCAGTGTGGTGATGTGCATAGAATCCTAGTCATGGAAGGTGGAGGCAGGAAGATCAGGAATAAAAGGCCAGTGTTGGCTATATAGTGAATCCAAGACTAATGTGGGCTACGTGAGACTTTGTCTCAACGGGAAAAAGAGAACATTGTCCTCTCAGCCACACTTCCACCGATTAAGTCTGGACTGAGACATCCGTGGATGTGGCTGAGTAGAGAATGCGTGTGGTGTGATCTTTCCAACTAAAATGGAAACTCTGCAGTCAAATTTTTTCTTAGTGTGTATTTGTGTACAAAGTACCAGGCTTCATAGTGACATTTTTATTCAATCACCCCCACAACTGTAAAGATCTCCTGTTTCCTGGGATTCATTCCTCTTCCTACTTAGTTCTACCCACCCCTCACACACGTATACTCACACTCTCTCTTTAGCTTCCACATGTGAGAGAACACATATTTTTATGAATCTGACTTATTTCGTTTAATTTGCTGCTTCTCCAGCATCTATCCATTTTCCAGAAAAGGATGGAATTTCACCCTTTCTGGCTCTTTTAAATTGTCTGCACTGTAGCTATACCACATCCACCTTGACCCCTTTCCTGTGGTGACAGGCTGTTCCGTTACAGGCTCTTGTGAGTAATGCTGCGGTAACCATGCATCTAATGTGGCGGCTTAGCTCTGTTGGGCGTGTGTACGCCCAGGAGTGGTGGTCTACTTTATGGTGATTCTACTTTTAGTTTTTGAGGAACCCCCATACTGGTTTCCATAGTGGCCGCACTAGTTCATACTTCCTCCATGGTCTAAGGGATGCCCCCCCCCCCCCCCCCGATCCCCCTCCCTACCCCATCTTGAACTCTCTCCAGCATTTGCTTGTATTTTAAAGATGTATTTTAAGTTATGTGCGTGTGTTTGTGTGTCTGTGTGCACATGAGTGCAGATGCCTGTGGAGACCAGAAGAGGGCGTCAGATCCCCTGGAGCTGGCGTTACAGGAGGTGGGAACTGCCTGACCCGGGTACTGGGAACTGAACTCTGGTCCTCTGCAAGAGCTGTGCATGTTCTTAACACCTCAGCCAATGTCTCCAGCCCATTAAAATTTTCTTTTTAAGATTTAAAAAACATTTATGTATATGAATGTTCTTGCATATATGTATGTGTATCACATGTATGCCCTTTTTTCTTTTTTTGTGGAAGTCAGAAGAGGACATCATATCCCCTGGAACTGGAGTTAGAGATAGTTGTGACCTGCCACGTGGGTGCTGGGAACTGAATCAAGGTCCTCTGCGAGAGCAACATGTGCTCTTCCCAGAGGACACAGCTCCATGTTGTTTGTTAATAGCCATTCTGACCGGATGACATGGGATCTCAAAGTAGTGCTGACCTGTTTCCCTGATGTCCAAGGACACCGAGCATGCTCTTGTTTTTATCTGTTGCCCATTGAACTTTGTTTTTGGGAAGTGTCCATTGCATTTGCTTATATATTAGTTGGATTATTTGTATTTTTTTGTTAATTAAAATGTAATGAATTACATTTTTGGGGGCTGGCAAGATGACTCAATAGTTAAGAGCACTGGCTGCTCTTCCAGAGGACCATAACTTTTGACTCTCCTTTTTTTTTTCTTTTCTCTTCTTTCCTTTGTTTGTTCCTTCCTTCCTTCCTTCCTTCCTTCCTTCCTTCCTTCCTTCCTTCCTTCCTTTCTTTTATTGACACAGGGTCTCAGTATGTAACTTTGCCTTTCCTGGATCTCACTATGTAGACCAAACTGGTCTCAAACTCACAGAGATCCACCTGCCTCTGCCTCCCGAGTGCTGGGATTAAAGGCTGCGCCACCATGGCCAGCTATCTTTTATTTAAGACTTATTTTTATTTTTTATGTATTAGTGTTTGTTCTGCAGGTATCTATATGTATCATGTTCATGACTAGTGTCTGAAGAAGCCAAAAAAGAGCATGGGGAATCCCCTGGAACTGGAGTCACAAGTCATTGTGAGCCACTGTGTGGGTGCTAGAAACTGAACTCAGGTCCTCAGGAAGAGCGGTCTGCTCATTCCTAACTGCTGAGCCATCTCTCCATGTTGTATTTTTAATCTTATGCAATATTTCTTGCTATTCTTAAGTTGCTGGCATCTTTTCCAGGAAATCTTTGTCTGCAGCTGCATTTTAAAGTATTTCCCTGGTAGCAATTTCAGGATTGGCATTCAGGTCTTTGATCTATTTTGATTTATTGTGGCAGTTTGAATGTAATTGGCCCCCATAAGCTCATAGGGAGTGGCACTATTGGGGGTGTGACTTTGTTGCAGTAGGCATGGCCTTGTTGGAGGAAGTGTGTCACTGGGGAGGTGGGCTTTGAGGTCTCATGCTGAAGCCATGCCCAGTGTTCCAGACTACTTTCTGTTGCCTACAGGTCAAGATGTAAGGACTCTCAGCTCCTCCACCACCATGTCTGCCTGTGTGCCTACATTACACCATGATGATAATGGACTAAACTTCTGAAAATATAAAAATGTTTTTCCATTATAAGAGTTGCTGTGGTCATGGTGTCTCTTCACAGCAATAGAAACCCTAACTAAGACAGTTATTTTAAGACATTTTATTTATTTGTTTATTGTGTGTGTATACATATGTGTGCATATATGGGTGCCATGTGCACCATGGTGCATGGGTTGTGGACAACTTGTGGGAGTTGGTTTTCTTATTTCATAGTGTGGATCCCCGGGATCAAACTCAGGTCATCAGGCTTGGTGGCAGACACCTTTGCCCAATGAGCCATCTCAATGACCTTGAGCTGATTTTTGTACAGGGTGAGAGACATCAAGTTCCCTCCTATATGTGGAAATGTAGCATTCCCGATCTTTTCCCCAGTGTATGAATGATAGAGTTAAAAAAGAAAAGAAGAGGCCAGGCAGTGGTGGTGCACACCTTTAGTCCCAGCACTCGGAAAGCAGAACCAGGCGGATCTCTGTGAGTTCGAGGCCAGCCTGGTCTACAGAGCGAGCTCCAGGACAGGCACCAAAACTACACAGAGAAACCCTGTCTCGAAAAACAAAACAAAACAAAACAAAACAAAACAACAACAAAAAAGAACAAAGAAAAGAAGAGAAAGGCATGGGCGGTGAGTAAAAACTTGGAAAAAGAAACTGATATGGTGAAAATATATTTATCATATATTCAAATCTAGGTTAACATTGTGACTATACGGTCATACTTGACACAAAAATCCATTGATTATGTTGACATACAATTTTGTAAAAGGGGGGGCTGGAGAGATGGCTCAGAGGTTAAGAGCACCGACTGCTCTTCCAGAGTTCAATTCCCAGCACCCACATGGTGGCTCACAACCATCTGTAATGAGATCTGGCACCCTCTTCTGTATACATAATAAATAAATCTAAAAAAAAAAAAAGAAAAAGGGAATAGTAGGTGAATGCATTTAATATCTTAGGAGATACAATGTGTATACGTACAAATTTGGAAAAGTGGATGCAGTAGAGAGCTTGTCTCAGGCAGTGTTCTGTTGCTGTGAAGAGACACCTTGACCACCACAACTCTTGTAAGGAAAGCATTTGATTGGGGCTGGCTTTAATCCTTTCAAATAGTGTCACTCCCCAGGGAACAAGCATTCACATCTATGAGCCTGTGTGGACCATTTCTTATTCAAACCACCGCATTCCACTCCTTGGCCGCCATAGGCTTGTAACCATATGTAATGCAAAAATGCATTCAGTCCGACTTCAAAGTCCCATAGTCTATAACAGTCTCAACACTTTAAAGGTCTAGATTTTAAAGTCTCATTGGAGACTCATGGCAATCTCTTAACTGTAACCCCTGTAAAATCAAAATCAAAAAGCAGATCACATACTTCCAGTACAGGATATGTATTGCCATTCCAAAAGGGAGGAAAAGGAGCACAGTGAGGAAATACTGGACCAAAGCAAGACTGAAAACCAGCTGAGCAAATTCCAAACTCTGCATCTCCATGTGTGATGTCCAAATGCTCTTCAGATCTCCAACTCCATTGAGCTTTGTTGACTGCAACACACTTCCTTCTCTTGGGCTGGTTCTACTCCCTGTTAGCAGGTCTTGGCAGGTATCCCATGGCTCTGACATCTCCAGCATCTTGGGGTCTCCAATGAAATCTAGGCTTCACACAATGGCTTCTCTGGGCCTCCATGCAGGGACACCCCTGACACATGCCTGGCCTCAGCGGCTTTCCCTAGCCGCAGAGGGAGATTCCACAACCCCTTTCTTGTAACCGTGACTCTAAAGCCAGAACCTTGTGGCTGAAGCTGCCAAGTTTTGCTGCTTGCTGGGGTTGGAACATGGCCCCCTCGTTCGGTTACATTTTCATTTCTGTTTTTCAATGGTATCCTTCACTGCTTAAGCTTTTTAATTCATTTCACAAGTTGGAAGCTTAGCTGGGTAGGAACTTGCCCTGAAGTCACCAC